AAAAAAAATCAAAAGAGCAGAGTTCCTCTTTCTACGAAGAATAACTTTTTTGCGCAAGAGCTCATACAATGAGGTTTACCAGTTATTTAGAGAGAACAGTTTTCTCTCAAAATAAGTGTCTTAACAGCGTCTGTTATTTCAAAATAGCGCCATAATGCGATTATGCAAATGAAGTGCGGGATATTTAAATCCCGGCTTCATTTGCAATTTCGAATGTCTTCATTTGCATCCCTCTCTCAAAAGAGGGTAAAAGTGTAGACATACCCTAAGTGCTTAACTCCCACTGGTTTCAGTGGGATTTAGTTGCCTAAACACCTTTGAGGATTTGGACCTAAGTGATTTGCCCACGGCCATTGAGAGAACTCAGTGGTGGAGACAGAATTAGACCTAGGACCTACCACCACTCTTCTGCCCCCTCTCTCCCAACTGGCACATCCCAAACCACCAGCAAATGATGTTTCTGATATGTTGTTGTATAACATCCGTTTGCAGACAGAAGGTGCATAAATAGTATTTACCATGAACCCTTCACATGCAAATAGTAAGAAAATGCATTTAAGAGAAAATTAATAGAAAAAAGTGGAAAGGGGGGTACTTCTGAGAGCAATCTTGATACTCAAAATCACTAAAGATCAAGCTTAAATTTTATCTTAGTTTATTAGAAAAAAAGAACACAGTTTAATGTGCAAATATATACAACAAACACCACAATGAAACAGCAGGAAGACAGGATCACTCCCCTCTGCTTAATGACTTTAATCCTTCATACCAGAGATGACTGTTTTAATGCTTTTCCAAAGATGTACATATTCAACGTGTAATGCTTCATTTGCACAAGACTGCATTTATTTATTTTTACCTGAACAACAAATACTCTGTCTTTGAAATTGAAAAAGTCTGTTATTTTGGTGACTTTTTTTTTATTATTAACCTGAGCAATTTCACAGAACAGGGGAACAAAGAAAAGGCATTGCCCTACACCTCATTTTGATCACAGCATCTGGTGGTCTTTTAATAACAAACCCACTGAATTATTTAAAATGACTGCGCTTCCAACATCCACATCTGTGACAGCGCTAGCAACAGTGAAGAGCTACCCCTGGCTGAAGTGAATGGATTGATAATGCTAATCTCAGGTTAGAAACGTGCTGAGATTTTTCAGCGCTCATTTCTGCCCCTAATGTAAATTAATGCTGTTACATAAAATGGTGACCTTAGACATAAGGGAAAATATAACTTTATCCTTCTGAGTGAAAGGGCGCTGTGTCCTGCTGCCCCTTGCTCAAATCACACATAGGCTGCAGAATATGGCTTAAATCCCATGCAGGAATGAATTGAAGCATGTGCTTAATTTTAAGCAAGTGCTTAAATCCCTCCCTGTTCATAAGCATGTGATTAAGCAGGGCTGAAATGCTTTTGCTGAATTAGCACTTTATTGCATTGTGGCAGTGTATGTCTATGCTGCAGTGTGTGTCTATGCCTGTGCTGCAGCTGAGAGGTGTGATTCCCAGCAAAAAGAAACAGACACACGCCAGCTTGGCTTCAGCCAGTATACTACAAAGAGCAGCATGGGCATTGTGTCATGGGCAGGAGCTCTGGATAGTTGGCCAAGTCCAAGCCCATTTGCTCCTGGGTCTGAGTTCAGATGGCTACTCTGAGCCACTGCCAATTCCACAACATGCACACTGCTGTTTTAGAAAGCCAGCATGAGCCTGTCCCCCCGCACTAGGAATTCCACCACCCAGCTGCAATGCAGACATACAGAAATTCAGGAGCAATAGTTCAAATCTGCAGTGTTTACTGGGATCAGTGGAAGTTTGGTCTCAGTGGGTCTGGCCCAAATATCTGCACTAAGGAGTTAGAATTGTATGGTCCAGCTTGCTTATTCAGAGAGCCGATCAGCTCATGCTAACAACGATTTACAAATGGGACGACAGATACTTCAGAGCATTATGTGGCTGAGGAGATCGGATCCTACCTCTTTAAGAGTTAGCACAGTAAGGCAAAGGAAGCCAGCAGGGGAATCCGTCTTCCTTCTTCCAATGAGTAGGCATTAATGTTCTGGCTCATAAATCTGCTGTGTCCTACATCTTGGAAAAATCCAGCTGATCAACATAACTTTCCAACCACGTGGCTCTCTCATGATAAGCACGTGGACTAAAACCACGTTGCTTGTTTACTTTCCACTTTGCCATGCTACTGAATTTCATCTGAATGCTCCATTGAACCAAGCTACATTTATAATTACACAAAAAGAGTTAGGTTATCTGATGCTCATCCCTGGCTCAAAAAAAAGTGGTTGGATAAAGCACTGCTGAAGGACATGTGCTGGACCAAACCTGACACAGATTCCCTCTAAGAAAAGCATGTTAAAAGAAACGACAGCCCCAGCTGCTGTTTGCTAGATTTCCCCACCCCAAACCATACCTCCCTCCTGAGCTGTCTTTCTTTATATTTTTTAAATAAATAAATAAAAATAACTAAATAATAAAGAATTCGTTCCCTATTAAGGAAGGATGTAGTTTGTGCCTCAGGAAGCTGTGGTTTGGCCAATTCCATAACTAGAGCCCTACAAATCCTTCAATATCCATTTTAGATCTGTGGGGATCTGCATCTGCAGATGTGGATGCCGATATCCACAGATCATTTTTGCGGCTCCAGATGCGGATAGCAATTTTGTATCTTCACAGGGCTTGATCCATAACTAGTACTAAAGAAGGATTCTCAGAGTAGATAGTATTTTCAGAGGTGCCACTGTTGAAAAGTAAATCCACTTGCATGTGCTTTTCTGTTTCCCCTTTCTCTTTGGCTGAGGGACTGTGATGAGTGTGTTTAATAAATAAATATAGGCTCCTTCTTTTTTCTTCTGCCATCAGGTCAGAGTGATTCTGAGAATTTTGATGCCACAGTAACACACTGTCATGCCATAATCATTACAACTATCTAACAGACAGAAGTGCTGATTTACAAGGGGGTGCAATTGTATGCAGACGGAAACCTTGAATAACGGCAGGTTAATACACACAGTGTACGGGAAAGTAACACTGCTACTCTTGTTTGTCACATCACGGCATTTGAGTTAAATGGAAAAACTCAGTTTCTTGCGAAGACGCATGTCACTGTGATCAGATGCAGTCAGCACTGCTTTCAACTTTTACCCAGTCCCACACTCAGTTGCTTGCATTTTCCTATGTTATACCCCTATGTTAATGTCAATGAGCATTATCGCCTATGCCAGGGGAAAATGGAGCTACATCTAGACTGCATCTTTTTCCGCTTTTTTTTCCAGAAGAGGCTTTTTCAAAATTTGGCCAGTTTACCTGGGGCCAAATTTCAGAAAAATCTGCTCTTTTGGAACATTCCTTATTCCTCTCACCGAGAGGAATACAGGGATGCCGAAAGAATGCACCCGCTTTTTCAGAAACTGTTCCCTTGACGTAGTAGAGTTTTTCTGGGATCGTAGAATCATAGAGCTGGAAGAGACGTCAGGAGGTCATCAAGTCCAGCTCCCTGCCCAACACAGGACCAATCCCAGCTAAATCAACCCAGCCAGGGTTTTGAGGAGATCAGGAGAGATCTCAGAAAAACTCTACAATCTAGACATAACCTGGGTTGCTACACTGGATCATGGGGGAACAAGTTAGTTCTGTATAAAAAGTAAAGATTAAAAGCAGCACAGCATTGTTTGATCAACAACTGCAGGATGTTGTGATGCCAGTAGCAGGCAGGAGGTACAATGACATTAAAGATAGACTCATGATCAGGGATATTCAGATCCAAGTTTACAGTTTGGGCCCATCTTTCAGAAACACTGACAGAAAAGACACTTTCTAGACTCCTCAGTTGACTCTTCAACGCACCTGCCAAAGTTTAAATATTTCAAAGAAATAAGAATATTCTTCTTTCACATACAAGTGTGTTTTGATTATTTGAATAAGAACAACATTACTTTGAATACTAAATTCTCTAAAATTAGATTATTTTCTGTTTTTCTGCTCCAGAGTAATTTTTTACATCATGGAAGAACATATTCCAATAAAATACAGAAGGCTTTTTATTAAAATTTTACTTTGACCAAGAGGGCAGCTTGCTATCACTAAGCATTTGGGAGCCAGGGAAGTGTAATGGAATTTAATTCCCACTTCTGGAAATTGAGTTGCACCTCACACTGCTCCTAAGCAAGCTGCTCTTTTGCTGAAAAGCTCATCTTGTCTTGTGTTTCCTTAACTCTGTCAAGTACATCATCAGCACACACAAAGCACATTCAGTGACAGTCCATTTGCATAGCCCTATAGACACAGGCCGATATTTTGCCTCCCTCCTTGAAGTAAAAGGAATGCTTTGGGGCATGAAAACAAATCTCTTCGTAGCTGTGATACTTTCGATCTGTGCCAGCCTCCACAGAGGTGTGCTCTGCACCACTGAGTACCGGCAGGCTCCCTGAGTCCTGCCTCCGATGCTGCAAAACTCGATGAGGCTGGTAGAAGATTTTCCTTTTTCTAACTTATCAACAGAAAATTGATTTTTCAACATTAAAATGTTCATCAGAAGTGTCTGCTTTCTGCAGAAAAGACTGAGTTTTCCTCTATACCTTTCTGTCCAAAACGGTCATTTTTCAGGGGGTTTTTTTGGGCGGGGGGGGGCGGGGCGGTTTGGACATAAAGTCATTTTCTACAGACTGCAGAAATACCCCATTTTCTAATTAGCTCTAATCCAGTGGTCCCCAACCTTTCGTGGCTGCTGGGCGCCCGGGGGCAGAGCTGCTCACTCACCACGCTTCCGGGGGTGGGGCCACGCATACGCTGCGTGCCCGGGGGTGAGGCCGCCCACGCACCACACGCCTCAGGCCGGCACCACGCATGTGCCGCGTGCCCGGGGCAGGGGCCACTCACGCACCCTGCGCCCAGGGCTGGCACCGCACATGTGCCGTGCGCCCGAGGCAGGGGCCACCCAGTGCGCCCTGCGCCCGGCGGCGCGGGGGGCCCCCCCAGCCCAGATGTTTTGGCGGGCGCACATAAATACCCCGGCAGGTGCCATGGCACCTGCAGGCACCGCGTTGGGAACCACTGCTCTAATCCATGACACTTTTTGCCTGCAAACTGGGGGATGTGATTTTCCTCCAATCCAATAAATGCACAGATCACCCCCATCCTTCTCACTGGCAAAACCAAGCCAACTTTCTTTGCAGGCTCACCAATGGGTTTTCCACTGATGAAGCAGCAAGAACGGCAAATACTTCAGCTCTCTTGAGGTAGGAGAAAATGATGTTTCCATCAGCTAAACTGCCCTCTTCTAGCAATGCAGTGAGAATCAGGTAGTCATGGCTTTCAAACTTCCAATGGGCTCAATTGTGTGACGATAACACAAAAGGGGGTTTGCATGAAATGCACCAGAGAAGCTTGAAAGGCTAGCAGAGACATTTCTTTGCTATAAACAACATTTTTTCTACTCCCAGTTTGGTAATTCAGCATTTTTGGGCTGTCAATAATTTACAGTAACATAGTGTGGTATCAGCAGATATGAGGAGGAATATGTATTTGGATCCAGCACGAAGGGAAATCCTCCGTAAAACTCCTATTACTGAAGTCCTCACTCACAAGAGTGGTTCTGGGAAACCCAGTGGGTTCTCTAGCATGAGTTATAGACTAAACCCAATGGGGTAACTGATAGGTGGCAGACTTTCTTGATTTCATGGCTCATACACATTTGAACTAAGGATTTTAAGCAAACTGATAAAGTTAAATACATTATAAAACGCACACTTATCTGATCCTGAGATTGTCCCCATAACAAATACCCAAGTAGAGAAGTTTCCTGAATACATGTCTTCACATCACTGAAGTGTATTAAATGGCTGTTGTACACAGGCAGAGTTGCATGCCTACCAATGCTCCTTCCATCATTATTACCTGATTGCCTGACACATTTGCTAGGATGAGGCTAACAAAACTCTTAGTCCGATCATCACCACCAGAAATTTCAATTGCAATTCTTCTTTTGCAGTTCAGACAAAAACATTCTTGATGTTTTGCCAGCCTTTCCAAGACTTGTAGAAACAGGCGCGCACAGCTTCCTTTTTTATTTTTTGGCCATCCAAGAACTGTGTGTCTGCAGCTTCCTGTCACAGGAGCTGCTGTGTTGTGCTGAAGAAAGTCCTCACTGGAGGGAGAAAACATCAGGAGCAATTGGACGGGGAAGACGATGATGTGAACCACAACAGAAAGAGGAAATTCAATATGATGAACGTCAGTCAGGGTGTTGACTGCTACGCATTCCAATTCCATCGGTGCAAAGACCTATTTATAGTGTCTAACAGTGTCACTCAACTCGGATATTATATCTGGGGGGAAATATGCTCCAAAATTCTGTTTCTTAAGCACAATATATATATTAAAATGTTCTTTTTGTTTTTCAGTATTTTAGCCCTTAGTCAATTAGTCACCAACACCTTTCTGATACCAGAAGCTATAAACAGCCTTAGCACCTGCAGTATTTGTAGAATATCAAAAAACAGCCGTAGCAACAAGAAGTTACACAATACAGGGAAGATAAGATGGGGTTAAATGATCAATGCAACATGTAGTGGCATTTGTTACAATTAAATGTGTGGTTGCTGCAATCAGGCCAAAAAACTGTACCATGTAACTTGCTTGCAAGGGGTGGCAAAGAAGATTAATGTGTTACTTTCATAATCTACAAACCACTCATTCAACATATTCTTTCCAGCTGAACTTGAAGGTTTTTCCTTCAGAGACCACCAGGATCTTACATTGTCTTCCTCTGAATTCTGCTGTTACAGCTGCTTGGTTAAGAATGTTGTTCCAGTGCAAAAAAATGAAACCCCAAATCTTCCTCCTTTAAACCTTAGATTGCCTCACATCTGTCCATTCCTGTTTAGTGTTCTGTAGGGCCTGAGTCTTCTGTTCATCTACTTGGACATAGTCTA